GACTTACTATAGTATGTGGTATTTTTGTCTTTTTAGATGACTTACTATAGTATGTGGTATTTTTGTCTTTTTAGATGACTTACTGTGGTATTTTTTTGTCTTTTTAGATGACTTACTGTGGTATTTTTTGTCTTTTTGGATGACTTACTAGTATGTGGTATTTTTTGACTTTTTAGATAATTTCCTATAGTATGTGGTATTTTTTGACTTTTTAGATGACTTACATGTAGTATTTTTGCTTCTTAGATGACTTACTATAGTATGTGGTATTTTTGGACGACTTACTATAATTTGTGGTATTTTTTGTAGATGACCTACCATAGTATGTTGTATTTTTTGTCTTTTTAGAGGTATATACTGTATATATACAGTAGGTACGTGGTATTTTTTTTTGTCTTTTACGATAGTGTTTTCAGACAACTTACTTATTCAATCTACTAATAATTATCAGTATTTTGGTGTTCTTGTCCTACAACTTTTATCTTTTTTTCCATGCCTGAAAATTACATAAAACACACACACACGACACATCAAACACACCACACACGACACATTAAGTATTTTAATACACATACAGTATACAACGTTCATTAAAGCAATAAATTGTTTCTGAAATGCTTTCCCTTTAAAACTGAACAGAATGTGAAACAGTCAGATATTCAGGTGTAGCTCCAGTCCAGCCACATAAGAGTGAACATTTTCTCCACATTCATCAAGTCGAAGCTGTTTAGTTTCTGTGCAGCTTACATTTTTTACTTTTTTTTCTACTCATCAAACAGCAATTTTAAACAAGTTTTAAATATCTTTGGTTGAAACACAAATACTGAGGTTTCAGTAGTTTTATTACATTAGTTTGATACAGATGCAGTTTGTTCAGGTACCTGTTGGATCTTTACTGGAGAGAATCAGAAAATATAAAAGCTGTCTGTTGGTTCAGGAAACAAAACAAAGGAAATTAAATAAGCAGCAAAGTTTGTTCATCACATTCTGGCCTTTTGATACTATACAATACTACTATTCTGTATCTTTTCCCTGTTAATTTGAAGATATGAGTTAAAATCAGAAGACTTGATCTACAAACAAAATGAGTTTCTAATTATTAATACTTACTTGCGTTTTTACAACTCTTGTGTAAACTTTGCAAAATACATTCATCGGATAATATTTTTAAAATTATTTGCACCATTAAAACTC